ATATATATATATATATATATATATATATATATATATATATATATATATATATACAAATATAGATATTCTGGTTCTTTGTTTAGTTAGTTGAAATGATAGAATACCGCGAGCAGCCACATAACAAACAGAAGGAGGGTTTAGGGTTTAGGGTTTAGGGTTTGGGGTTTAGGGTTTAGGGTTTAGGTAGTAAGGGGTGAGGATCGGAGCAGGCATCGAGGTGTATATGTATGGGTTTTGCTGCTGCCCTGCTGCTGCTGCTGTTGCTGCTGCTGTTGCTGTTGCTGCTACACAGCATGGGCCTGCTAAGGTAATTGCTACGACTGCTGCAGCTGTGGCACTAGCAGCAGCAGCAGCAGCTGCTGCTGCTGCTGCTGCTGCTCCTGCTGGAGTTGCTGCTGTTGCTGCTGCTGCAGGGGGGCCCCTCATGCGTGTGTGTGTCTGTACACCCCACGCGAGAGAGTAAAATTATATATAATTAAATAATATTATATAAATAAATTTATTTCATCGGCAGCAGCAGCAGCTGTCTATGCACCGCAGCAGCAGCAGCGCTTCAGTGTCCCTCACGACCCCGAGCAGCAGCAGCAGCAGCAGCAGCAGCAGCAGCAGAAATTGCTGCTGCTGCTGCTGCTGCTATTGCTGCTATATCATCTGTATTATTTCCCCCCCAATTTCATTTATTTGAGTAAAAAATAATAAAATAAAAAATAAAAAAAACAAACAAATGCATAAAACACTAACTTAGACCTCAGCAGACACTGCAACACCGCGAGCTGCAGGAGCAGCGGGATGCCAGAGCAGCAGCAGCAGCAACAGCAGCAGCAGCAGCAGCAGCAGCAACAGCAGCAACATATGAAGTAATGCCAGCTGTTATGAAAGGAGACACGGGATACAACTCACCAGGCGCAGCAGCAGCAGCATCTGCTGCTGCTGCTGCTGCTGCTGCAGTACTGGAGACACCGCCAGCTGCAGTGTCTTGAGGCCTCAACAGCAGCAGCAGCAGCAGCAGCAGCAGCAGCAGCAGCAGCAGCAGCATTGGAAATACCAGATGCGGCAAGCCCCCCTGTTGCTGCTGCTGCTGCTGCTGCAGAATTCCGCAGCATCTCTAACAGCGGCAGCAGCAACAACAGCAGCAACAGCCACAGAACACCCAGCAGCAGCAACAACAGCAGCAGCAGCAGCAGCAGCAGCATCAACAACCGCAGCAGCAACAGCAACACCGACAGGGGCAGCAGACGTGAAGCAGTATAGTGACCATGGAGACCCCAGTCTCTTCGGTGTTGGCGCTGCAGCTGCCTTTACTATACAGCAGCAGCAGCAGCAGCAGCAGCAGCAGCAACAGCAGCAGCAGCAGCAGCAGCAACAGCAGCAGCAGCAGCAACAGCAGCAGGAACCGCAGCATCGAACCCAACAGCAACACCGACAAGGAAGACTGTTCGGGTTGCTGCGGCCTGCTGTCCCCATGAGTGTGGATGCCATGCTGCAGCAGCAGCAGCAGCAGCAGCAGCAGCAGCAGCGGCAAGAACAGCAGCAACACCAGCTGCAACAACAGCACCAGCAGCAACAGCAGCAGCAGCAGCAGCAGGAGGTATTGAGGGGCGACCAAACTGCACTCGTTGCCCTAACAGCAACAGAAGCAGAAACAGCATCAGCAGCAGCAGCAGCAGCAGCAACAGTTGCTGCTGCTGCTGCTGCTGCTGCTGCTGCTCCTCATCGGAGCCTCGCAGCATCAACGACTATCGTGAGGCTCTTCGATAAACCCTAAACCCTAGCTGCAAACCCTAAACCCTAGCCCTAAACCCTAAACCCTAAACCCTAGCTACAAACCCTAAACCCTAAACCCTAAACCCCAGCGCCAAGCCGTAAACCCTAACCTCAAACCCTAATCCCTAAACCCTAGCTGCAAACCCTAGCCTTTATATTATATTCTCACCCCCTAAACATAAACCCTGAACCCTAAACCCTAAGCTGTGTTGTCTGCTGCTGCTGCTGCTGCTGCTCAGCCTAACTGCGCCAGCGGAGAATATCTTGACGCTGTACGTTCCCCTGACAACACTGCTGCTGCTGCTGCTGCTGCTGCTGCTGCTGCTGCTATTGCTTCTGCTGCAGAAGCAGCTGCTGCTGCTATTGCTTCTGCTGCTTCTATTGCTGCTACTACTACTACTGCTGCTGCTTCTGCTACTACTACTACCACTCCTCCTCCTCCTACTACTACCACTACCACTACTGCTGCTGCTGCTGCTGCTGCTGCTGCTGCTGCTGCTGCAGGACGACACGTGCCAGCTATGCCCCGCTGGCCGTTACTCTCCCGCGGGCTCAGTCGGTATATTTTCTTGCGTCGTTTGCCCCGCCTCCTCCTGGAGCACTGAAGGCTCAGCTGTCTGTACACCCTGCATGTACTACAAAAGTCAGCAGGCTGCTGCTGATGCTGCTGCTGCTGCTGCTGCTGCTCCTGCTGCTGCTGTTGGTGCTGAGGGTGGTGGTGCTAGTGGTGGTGGTGCTGGTGGTGGTGGTGATGGTGGTGGTTGTCTTGCTGGGTCTGGGGGTATTACTTATTCTGAGGCATTTGTGCTGCTGCTGCTGTTGTGCTGCTGCTGCTGTGCTGCTGCTGCTGCTGTGCTGCTGCTGCTGTGCTGCTGTTGCTGCTGTTGCTGCTGCTGCTGTTGCTGCTGGTGCTGCTGCAGCAACTGCGAGGAGCGGATCGACTTCTCCTGACGACTGTTTCTGCGTCTCGGGTGCGTCTGCTTCTTCTTTTGGCTAGCTAGCTGGCTAGCTAGCTACCTAGCTAGCTACCCAGCTATCAACCCAGCTAGCTAGCTGCAGCTGCTGCAGACAGCAGCAGCTAGCTAGCTAGCCGCCATTCTGCTCCAGTAGAAAGCCAACTAGCGAACCAAAGGGGCCCTTTCCTAGCCTGCTAGCTAGCCAGCTCGTTAGCTAGCTGGATAGCTAGCTGGATAGCTAGCTGGTTAGCTAGCTGGTTAGCTAGCTGGATAGCTAGCTGGATAGCTAGCTGGCTAGCTAGCTGTACAGCTAGCTGTATAGCTAGCTGTGGCCTCCAGCGTGTGTTCTCCCCGCTGGCTCCGCAGCAAGGAAAAAAGCGGTAACAGCAGCAACACCATTATCTTCACTTGTTGCTGCTGCTGCTTCTGCTGCTGCTGCTGCATCTGCTGCTGCTGCTGCATCTGCTGCTGCTGCTGCTGCTGCTGCTGCTGCTGCAGGTACGAAGCCTTCTAGCGAGGACCCGTCGGTGTGTGAGCCGTGCAAGGGGGAGCCAGAGTGGTGTATCCGTGCTGAAGCAGATGAGGGGGGTTGGTGGTCGTGGGCCTCAATATGCAGCCCTGCTGCTGCTGCTGCTGCTGCTGCTGCTGCTGCTGGTCCTGCTGCTGCTGCTGCTGCTGCTGCTGCTGATGCGGGAGAAGACCTACACCCCTTCTGTGCTGAGCTGGGATCCGATCCCAATAAACTTAACTTCAGATACAGCTGCAGCAGAGGAGACAAATGCACCGGAAATATAAACGAGCCCTGTGCTGGCGGCACAGATGGAGTTTTCTGCTCTTCGGTATTTTATTTTTTTTATTTTTTTTTTTATTTTTTTTTTGTTTTTGTTTTGTTTTAGCTTTGTTTTGTTTTGGTTTTGTTTTTTGTTTTGTTTTGTTTTTGTTTTGTTTTTTGTTTTATTTTATTTTTGTTTTTTTTGGTTTATTTTATTTTATTTTATTTTTGTTTGTTTTGGTTTGTGGTGGGGTTGTTTAATATATTATAATGTATTATTTTATAGTATAATATATTGTTGTTTTATATAATATATTATAGTGTATTTTTATGTTTATAGAGTTTAATATAATATAATATAATATAATATAATATAATATAATATAATATAATATAATATAATATAATATAA